AGCTGAATAGGTGAAGATGTGTGTATATATATAACATACCCTTCCATGTAAAAACAGATTGATGGAAAAAATGTCTCGGATACAGAAGTATCAATGTATGTTTACAAATTGTATACACTCTAAAAAAACTGTTCTTTTTATTTTAAATGTTATGAAAGATTTTATCCATGTCATTATTGTCATAATAAAGATCATTTTTGCAATAAAAATGTCAATCCAAAAGATATTTCCTGGATAATGTGTAATTATTGTGGTTTTGAGCAAGGAATTCAACAATATTGTATCAAGTGTAAAAAAAAGTTGGCTGATATTTTTGTGGTAAATGTAAGGTTTACGATAATTATTCGAAAGATCCTTATCATTGTGTAAAATGTAGTGTTTGTAGAATTAAATTACATAGATCATTTCATTGTGACGCTTGTGGATTGCGTTTCGAAAAGGAAAAGGGAAGAAATCAATATCATATATGTAAAAGCGAACATGTTCAATGTATGATATGTTTGGAAGATACATTAACTGGAATCGGAATGTTAAAATGTGGTCACAAAATACATTTTGATTGTTTGACACAATTATTATTACAAGGATTTTCTAACTGTCCGATATGTAGAGCTGAATTATTAACACCAACATAAATTCCATCAATTAGGCGAGCCTCTTTAAGACCCGTGTCTGGTACAAACTGATACTACCCTCAATAAAATGCAAAAATATGAATTTTTTATTATATGAAGTATTATATAAAGTATTAGATGAAGTATTTACAAATTGATGTATATAAACGAATTTTAAGACATTTTTCTAAAAAATACTCCATTGTGTTGTTTAAATTAATTTCTTGGTTGAGTTCTTTTAATTTATCAAGTAATTTTTTTCTTCTCTCAAATAGATCAATTAAAAAATTTGCTTCTTCCTCATTTTTACATATGATATTTCCTTTTATAAGTGAATAAAATTGTCTATTAACACAATTTTGTCCATTGTTAAAAGATAACATATTACAAGAGTGTTCGGGATTTTGAGCGATTTCGTTGTTGTATTCTTCAAGTTTTTTTTTGGTCGGACGTCCTCTCTTTTTTTTATACTTTCACTAGTATCCATTAATTGTCTTTTTTTCCCTATCCATTCATTAAGATTATGAGGAGGACTTGTAAATACTAGATTGAGATGAGCAAATACTTGATCTTGATTCATTTGTTCAGGAGGAGGAGATGTATTTCCTTGATTTTGAGTCACAGTATTATTATTATTAGGAGGAGTTGTAAATCCTTGATCTTGATTAAATTCAATGTCTCCAAGTTCTCTTAAAAAAGTGCGCGGTGTGGGGACATTGTAATTCAAGAAAGACATCGTGTTTGGTGACATCATATTTGTAGTTGTGATTGGAGACATAATATTCATAAGAGTTGTATTTTTTTTAGTAAGGAATCTTTTGTTGAATAAACATTATTAATTATTGGTAAAGGAGATGATTTTTGAATATTATCGTTATAAGTATTCAAAGGACTTTTACCATCACTCTTTTCTGCTGTATCTTCATCCATGGGTTGTGGAGAATCTGGTGATGATGATGTACGATTTTGATTTTCGATGCAACTTGTCTCAGAATTTGTCTCGTTATTTGTCTCAGTATTTATCCAATTCGGTATGGGTGTTTGTAGAGAAAGATATTCATTATTCTCTTGAAATTGATTTTCTTCTTGAAAATGAATTTCTTCTTGATTTTTTTTTTCCTTTTAACTTTTTTTCTTTATTTTTTTTTATAAACATGTCGAAGCGATTTTTGTTTCTTTTATTACTCAAATAAAGTAAAAAATCTTCATATGACACGTTTGATTCCATTTTTTCTTTATAATAAAGAAATTTTTAACGAGTAAGCTCTTATGTACTAACCGAATTTGATATAAAAAATCGTATTTCCTTTCATTTAATCTATTTATGGTACGATTACCCTTGGTTGAAATTACCACATGCCCTTGGTTGTATTTGGCACAACCTGATGCTATTTTTTGCTTGAATTTAGAATATAACCTTGACTTTTCAAGTTGATTGACATTATTGAGTGTCTAGAAGTTACTAATTGAGATGTTTTGCATTTTTTGACGTCAATGAAGAATTACTACATGTTTTTATTACTATATATGGTCGTTATATGCATGATAATCTTGAGCGCTTCATATTTGCATTGCTTAAATTTTTTTGGTTTTTTTAACACCTTTGCGCATATATAAAAGACTCGTTGTTTGAAATTGTATGCATTGAAGAACTAATGAACGTGTCATATATTTGTTAAGTTTGTTTTATAAAATGGCATCACAAGAATCAATTGCAACCACAACACACATTTCAAGACCAATTGCATCTGAAGATGAAAGTCCAAACACATCGTATTGCCCATCACACATTTCAACTCCAAATACATCTGAAGATGAAAGTCAAAACACATCGCATTGGCTCAAAAGAAAATTTTATTATATAGCTGATGATGATGATGATGTAAACATCGAACGTAGCGAAAATTATAAAAAACTTACCGAATTTAGAAAACAAATACTTGACTTGCAGAGTGAATTAGAAGAAACGAAAGAGAAGCTAACGCAAAATGAAGCAGAAATTAGCGAATTTTCAAAAGAAATTCAAGCTTTAAAAGATGAATTAAAAAAAAGAAAGAGCAAAATGAAGTAAACCATATTGAATATTTAAAAGATGTTCAAGTTTTACAAGATGAATGCGATTGTTTAAACAATTCGTTAACTGATTATGAAAAAATAAAAGAAAATACTCAAGTAAAGTTAATATTAGCACAAGCTAAGTTGGATGAAGAACTTCAAAGTGATGAAATATAGTTCATATAACAATTTAATGTATCACATCAAAAATTTTGTTTAGACGATTAACATGCAGTTTTTTTTCATTGTCAGACATGTCAACATCTAAAAAAATAAATTTTAAATAATCTTTAGATTTTCTTATTACTTTTTCTTTTTTTCTTCTTTCTTCTTCTTCTTTTTGTGTTTTATGTAGTTCATATAATTTTAAATCGTGTTCTAATACTCTTTTTTTTTGTTTGATGATTTCTTCAAATTGATTTGATTCTTTTTCAATAAAGTCTATCCTCTCGTCGCAAACCTCTTTCCAAATATGACTGTATATTTTAATATATTTTCTATTGCGTTGTTTATTTTTTTCTTCGCGTCTTTTGTATCGTAATACTCTTTCTTTTTGGCATTTTCCCATCTTTTCTTTGTTTGCTTTCACCGTTTTTTTCTCACTGTCTTCGCGATAAGTGTATGCTTGCAAGTGAAGTAAACTAAATAAATGCTTGAATTTTATATATCAAATTTTTGCGCAAATATAACCTTTTGACCCCGGTGAAACATACTGTTGTTGCGTTTACTTGTTTCACATATGTTAAAACCTACGATTTTTGTCATAAAATAAACCGCATCGAGTTTTCAATACATTAATGTATTGAAAAAAATTTGCATTTACATTTTATAATAAAACTTATATTTTCGATTTTGTTGAAGCTAGCAGTATCAGAATCCATGATCACCCATATGATAATTGCTTAATAGATGTGATGACAGCAAACGGATTTTGTTTGAGATATTATAGGTATTCTCTCGATTTTATACAATTCTGTTTTGAATTTAGGTGTGAATCCATGTATTAAAACATGTGATTTTAATCACATCACAATTCGCTTTGATTATTAAATTCATTAAAGCGTCGAAAACGATTTTTTGCATCTTTGTTTAATGCAAAACGTATATTTTCGATTTTGTTGAAGACAGTGTCAGATTGTACCAGTTACAGATATTGAAAATAATTGCTTAACAGATGTGATGACAGCAAAGTATTAGTATTCTCTCGAGTTTACAATTCTGTTTTGAATTTAGACGTGATTTTATGTATTAAAACATGCGATTTTTGACAAAACACAAATCGTTTTGATTATTAAATACATTAAAGAGACGAAAACAGTTTTTTGTATCTTGCTTTAATACAAAACGTTCATTTTCGATTCTGTTGAAGTCAGTGTCAGATTGTACCAGTCACAGATGTTTCATTGATATTTAATTGATATGATGACAGTAAATGGGTTTGTTTGTGTTCTCGAATATTCAAGGGCAACTAGCAAACAAAGACACAGTGTACTGAGATGTAGATACGAACGTTCAAGGTGAAACGGAAACAAAGGGTATTTTGTTGTAACGAGAGTATTTAAGAACGCGTAAATATCACAACTGCATTGACGTTTCTCAAGCTCTGTTGACGTTATCTTGTTGGAAATCGGCTGGAATCTTGTTGGAAATCGTTAATCTCTCGCTATTTGTTGAGGAGAAACTTGTACTGGTAAGAATTTAATGTTATTTCCCTTTATTTACGACCTAAATTTTTAATATTGCATTAACGTTTGTCTAGTTACATTTAAGTCTGTTTTACTTGAGAGTCTTCCAAATGCGTTTATTTACGAGCTAGTTTTTAATAACGCAATTGTTTTTTTCTAGTTACGTTAAAAAATCTGTTTATTGGAAAGCGATATATTAAAAGCGAAAGAATTATATCATCAGTGAGTTGGACTTTGGTAAAATTTAGAATAGGTAACGTATCAACTAAGTCAAGGTTTTATTCATGTCTTTGTTTACAAATGAAAGATTGGCTTAACTGGTTTTGGGACGATGAATATGGTGAAAAGTTTGAATGCTTTTTCCGATTCTTTATTGTGGATGATGTATTGATGCGAGACAATTTGTATCATCAGTAAATTGGGTTTTGAACTTTCCATATTATCATTTGAAATTGGACTTCGGACTTTCATGAATGTAATTATTTTGTGTTGTATTTGAAATATGTCTTTTTTTTATGAAATATACTTGTTTCTTCCAAATACTATTCCGACAGACTATACGTTATTTGAAATAAAGTTAAGAATTTAATAGTATTTGCTTTTATACACGAACTAATTTCTTTTCTCTAGCTACGCTAAATTCTGTTTATTGACGACTCTTCCAAATACAAACGCGAAGACTTTACGAACCAATTTCTTAATATCACAATTGCATTAACGCTTCTCTAACTACGCTAAAGTCTGTTTATTGGAAGGACTATTCCTTAGTTTGAAATAAAGGTAAGTATTTAATATTATTTGCTTTTACTTACGAAGTATGATATTATTTATGGAAAAAGTATAGATGATCACACGGTATAGAAAACGATTAATGGGTCATTTGAAAGAGTATTTGCATCAAATGATGAAATATCATACTGGATTTTTATTATAAAATGTTATTGTAAAGACGTATATCAATTACCCACAGAATTTTTAATGTGGGTGAAAAAACAATTTATTATAAAAGTTAGATGATATGAAAAGAACTTTTATGATATTAAAGATCTAAAGCTTTAAATATTTTTATTTGCATAATCCAAAGAATCAGGGTACGGGTTTTACAAAAGTATAAGAGATTTTTATGTTAATTTTTTGCTAGGAAAAAATTATGGGATATTTCGAAAAAAATAGAGTTATGAATTTATTTAAAGAACTATGCGAAAGTAAATTTCAGAACTGTCAAAAGTGCTATTATTGTGTAAGGTTCAAGTTAACCTTAGCAAAATTAATACTGGAGTATATTGAAGCTGATTTCTTTCATTTTATCCGTGGAGAGATACAAAGAAAGGATCATTTTCGAATTAAAGACAAATTTGTATTAAAAATATTGAAAAAAGGAAATATCGATTGTACTTTATTAAACCCAAACGGTTTGTTGAATAAAATTTATACGGGTTTAAAAAAAGACAGAAATAATGATATTGAAGAAGAAGACAATTATATGGAAGAGGACAGTGATAAAATTGATTTTAATAAAAAGAAAGGTCAGAAAAGAAAAATAATATCTGGCAAAAAAGCTATGAAGCGAGTCAAACTAAATTAGTGATACTTTTTTTTTATTAGAAATTTTTTGGAAATTGAATAATGGATAAACATTATATCAAAAGTCATGTGCTGTTATAGATCATAATGGATATATATTTTGTCTTGTGGGACATTTTGGTGGACATACTTGTAATTTTTATTATAATCAATATAAACCCAGAGTTGATATTAACTCTAACTATACAATGTATATCAATGAATATGCTATTAAAAATCAATTGTTTCATTTTTAAATGTTTTTTTTTAATTTTTGTTGTTTTTATTAGTATTTCTTTGCAGATAACATAGTGGTAAAGAAATTGGCTATATTTGATACCGTTTTTTGTGTATTTTACCCATTACATAACCTCGAAAGAAATAACGTTTATTATAAATTTTTTTTATAGTTCAACAATATGGATTTTTTATCTATTCAAGTATTTGCCATTTTATTGAAGGAATATCCCGAACATCCATTGTTATATCTGTTGCATTTTGTATGCAGTTATTTATTAAAATTGAAAAGATATCCGTCGCTAATGAAAGTGCTTAAAATTAAGCCGACTGTAGAAGATTTAAAATATTCGCTTTATTTTAAATCTTTTTCAAATGATGAAAAATTCAAATCCGTCAAAAAAATGTAGATTTCATTGAATTTCTATATGGAACAGTAGGGATAATACGTTGTTGGGAGAATGAAAATACCGAACATCTTTATTTAATTTCGAGTTATTGGTTACCTAAAGTTTATATGCAACATAAAAAAATATTATTATTTAATGAAAATTTTTGTTGCAGATATTATTTTAATGTAGATAAACAAATGAATAGAATTTTATATGATTATTTCAACATTTATTTGCATGATTCTCAGGTTGTAAAAAAAGATAGTTTTCATTTAGGTTTAGAGTGTAATACGTTATATAGATATTTTTTTCAACATCTTAGTGATGTAAAAATTTATATATCTTGTAAAAAATTTTTTAATACAATTGAAAAAATAAAAATGAAAAATGTAAATAAAGATGTAATTTATAATTTTTTAATAGAAAACAAAATTTATACGGATTATGCACAACATATATTATCTTGTAAATATTGTAATATATTGTTTGATGATTTTATAACTTTACTTGTTATAAAATGCAAACAATTAGGAAAACCTAATTTTACATAAACAACACGTAGTTTTTTAACGTTTGAACAATTGGGATTAATATTTGATAGCGATCCTAATTTTCATACGTCAACTTGTGATGATATTTTATTAATTTTAAAAAAAATGGACTTGATAGATACGAATTATTTTTTCAAATTTTAATGGAAATAATTAATTAAATACAAATTTTCTATTTTTTCTATTTTCATTCATCATCGTCTTTAAATATCCATATTTCTTTTGTTTTATTTTTTTATTGATCCTCTTATACAATAATTTTCCTTTTTCTTTTTCTTTTACACATTTTTTGTTTCACAAGAAAAAAATTATTCCTTATTAATTTATTATTTAAATATTTTTTAACAACTCCGCCGGTTATAGCTGGAACAATACCCTTTAATGCCAATCCTGCTAGTCCACCAATAATTCCTCCTTTTGTGCTTTTTTCTATATTTTCTTTTTTAATTTTTTCGTTTCTTTTATACATTTTTTATTTTATTTTTAAAAAAGAATAAATAAGTAAAATAAATAGTAAGCAATTCAATAAATATATGCATGGAAACAATATCTGTTTATTTATGCAGAAGTAGTACAATTGTTATAACATATATATAGATTTTTACAAAATCACATTTTAAATTTCTGAAATAATATTTTTTAAAATTACAAAAATGGGAGACGTCAAAGAGGAGGAGACGACAAAAGGAGGATTTATTAAATTTTCTAAAATTCGCAATACACTTAAATCTGGATTTAAAAAGCATTAAGTAAAAAACATTTAGCTAAAATCTGCAAAAGCTGCCAGAGCTATAGCAAAATCAGGAATACTGGTTCTAAAGCAAAAAAATTTGTAAATTCACCCTTAATGGATAAAGCATTTGAAATTGCAAATAATCAATTGGGTAAAGGTGCATATAGAGGTCAGATGTATGTAAGAGGTAAAAGAAGAAGAGGTGAAAAAGGAGGAATATTACCTGTATTAATGATATTCTATTAATCAAAGGAAATCACTAATTAAATTGATCTAAATAAAGTCAATAAAATAAAAAAAAATTTATATTTTAATACGAAAATCTAGCAAATAACCTGAAATACTGTTAGATTTACAAATTATAAAATAAATTAATTGGAAATTAATGGTATAATGTTAAATGCATAAATGGTCAATTAATATGATTAATCATTTATTTAACTGCATAAACATTCATTGACATTAATTTCAGAGAAAACATGGAATATTACAATTGACTTCATAGCTTAGTGGTGCACCGGGCAGAGATGGGTTCGAATCCCGTTGATTTTTTCCTGAGAATTGCTTAAATTGTCCAGCTAAGTGCGAAGATCATATCTCATTGAATTTCAAACACCACACTGCATAAAACATTCAATATTACCATTGTTAGCACCAATATTGGGATCGATATTTTAATTGAAATAAATTTGTGTACTTAATTAATTAATTAAAAAATATTTATGTAAAATATATTTTATTCAATAAAAAATATTATTTATTTACAAAATATTTTACTTTTTACTTTTTTTCCAATATTCTCTACCATAATTAGTAAATATTTCTTGGTGTGGTTTAATGTTTTTGATGATTTTAAGAAATAATTAAATTTTTCCAAGTAAAACGAGTTGTTTTTAAAGCGTGAGCCTCGAGCATCATTTGCATATCTTGGTGCGCCATCAGTTGTTTCATTAGCATCAACACATTTTCCTTTATCGCAAATTGCATATTCTGCTAAACCATCACAATATTTTCTTATTATCTGACTTGAGGTAAGATGTCTCCCAGTATAATTTGCAATTTTTTTGTTTTTTGGAATTGTTTTTTGTATGCAAACAATCCTTTACTCCCGTTTGAAATGTTTGAAGTTTTAATTCTTAAATTAAATTTTTTTCCCAAGTGAATCCAACATAAATTGGTCATTGAAGTTTTTTTCGACATCTTACATTTTTTAAGGTAATTCCATCACATTGTTGTACTTTTCGTATACTTTGTTTCATTTTTAGTAAATTAATCTTATTCCAGCATAAAGTTCAATATTTGTTCAATATATTCAATTAATTTCTCAATTTTAAAACATATATCAGAATGATTTGAGTCGAGATTATATATTTCTTTTTTAAAAAAAAGAAAATTCTTTTTTAATGAATTGACATCATAATACCTTACAGAATTATCATCATTATCATCTGATTTCCAATCTTGAATTGATTGTTGAAATAAGAAAGGTGAGAATAAAATACATTTATCATTATCCAGTATTTGATAGAAACAATTAGTACTTGCTCTTTCATTATTTTTTATTTTTTTTCATTTTTATTTAAGAATAAATGAACTTCTATATAACATAGTGTTTCTCCAGCCATTTTCTTAATTAATTTTAGAAATGGGTAATTCTATGTGTAAACCATCCAACGATACACCGCTTATAAAATTAAATGTAAATTGCATGTCTATAAAAGATTCCGAAAATGAAATTTATTATCATGATAATGTAGACGGTGAAGAAAAATAAAAGATAAAAGAAAATAAAAAAAAATAAAAAAGAAAACCAAACCATGTCAAAACGGAAAAATGAAGAAATTGATGAAGAAAGATGAAAAAGAATGAAAATTATTTCGAATGATGAAATAAAAAAAATAGTTAGTATATTTCATTCAAAAATTGGTGAAAAATTGAATACATCAAAGAAAATTAAAAAATATTTGATTTACAATATAAAAATACCATTTTTATATTAAATGGTGAAGTTAAGGATCACATATATCAAATTTTTATAAAAAAAAAACAATTTCAACAATTTAGCAGATTTTTTGAAACAATTTTCAAAAGTATTACAATATTTGCTCAATATAGCATAATTATCTGTAAATTCTGAGAATGATTTAGTGAGATTTTTTTCGAAAAAACTCCGTTAAAACCTTTTTCGACATCCTTATTACCTTTAAAGGAATTTACTATGCAGAGATTATTAGATACTTTTGAACATAATTTAGAAAGTAATATTTCAGAATTTTTAAATAATGACTGGGAAACTAATGTATGTATTATTATTGTTCCACATCAATATAAAAATGAGAAAATCTCATTTAGGAAAAAAAAGACCAATTCTGAAAAACAAAACAAAAAACTTATTTATAATTTAAATCCTGATGATGATAGTATGGGGGGTGGTAAAACAAATCATCCAGTATTAAAACATCAAAGAGAAGTTAGAAATGGTGTATTGCAAATTAAGTATGACAAGTTGCAAGGTCAAGTTAAGAATTGTTGTTTTGCTGTGGCTGTATTAGTTGGAAAAATGCTTATTAATAATGATGACAAACTAGCTATTTTTTAAAAAAATTTAAATAAAACAGTTGATGAAATAATTACTGTAGACGAAGTTAAATCATTTTATAAAGAAGCTAAATTATCAGAAGGAAGCGTTACCATTAACCAAATAAATTTAGTTTACGAAAACTACTTAAAAAAAGATAATTTTCATTTGGTGATTTTTTTTAAAGATAAATTAGATACAATAATTTATGACTCAAGAGTGAGTAATCATGATTCCTTTCACATAAGTGATAAAATTATTTTTATGGTTAAATGATTCCCACTATGACTTAATCTTAAATCCTAAACTTTTTCTAATTTAAAATTGGATTTATTTTGCTTTAAATGCATGCATTATTTAAAATTTGACGAGTATGCGGATTCTCATATTTGTAAAATGAAGACACATGTTTAAAATGTTATTCAAACTGTAAAAAGAAGCAAATTTTTCTATTCAATGCACCGAATGTAATATAATTTTAAATCATCAGATTGTTTCCGGAAACATCTGTTTAATAAATTGTTTAAAAATAAGAATAGTATTAAAGTCACACCATGTCAAAAATTTTTTTTTGTAATACATGTAATAAAATTGTTCCAAGATTTTTCTTTGTTAAAAAATAAGGTTGTTTTACATGATTGTCAAAAAACATATTGTGCTCATTGTAGAAAATATTTGGACAAACAACATAAATGTCATATCAAACCCTTAGAATTTAATAAGTATAAGTCTACACCAACGTTATTTTTCTTTGATTTTGAAACAAA